GACAAAATAATTCAAACCAAGATTAAATAACAGGCAAATTCATAAAAACAAACATTCTAGTCAGAAATATATATTCCCCTGGAATATAATATTAACGAAAATCAGTCTAAACTTTGAACTTTTTTGTAACCCGCCAACAGTCCGGTCAGTGTCTAACGGCGTTAGTGTAGTTGACTATGGTATTTTATCGTCACAGTTTTTTGTTGATAACCAGTCCACTATTACTTTGAATGCATCTGATCATAATGCAATTTGTCTTAAATTTAAATTCACTTACTCTAACCCATCTCAAACAAAAGCTGGAAATCTAGGTGTCGTTTCAACGGGAAAACTTCGACCCTTGAATTAATAATGAATAACGAATTCACCCAACACAAGCTTGCACAATCGTCTGAATATATCGCACTGAACAATCACGACTAGGCCATACATGTATTGGGTGAAATATTTGATCGCTGCACCGAGTATTACGTAAACTCGTCCGGAACCAATCCCAACCAGCGTGGTGGGATAAACAGTACAGCAAAGGTAAACTGGAAACATAAAAGCCCTAAACAAAGTCAGATATTAACATTTTAATGGTACAAAAATGATGTCTGTTTAAAAATTACGTGTATTTTAATAATGTGTATTTTACAATGTCGTCTGTTTAAACAATTATTTTTGTTTTTAAAAACGATGTGTGTGTTTTACAATGGTGTGTTTAAAAGAACATGTGTTCGAAACGACGTCTGTGTTTTAAAATGATTTGTAAACAACATATGTATTTCTGTAATGCATTCAACTGGCCAGTGTATATTTGACGTATAATACGTTTACCCATAGTGCACTGTGGTTGACCTTCCAATGTTCACGGAACCGCCCCATTCGCACGTTTGCGCTGAAGTCGACCATCCATGGCCATCCCAGATGAGGCGAGGGCCGAATAAATGAATCTGTGCTTTCGAAGATGATCATACGCTTACAACCCCGAGGATGACCAGCGTCTCTAGATTCTTTGTTAACTACTCAGACTAATACTACTCTGTACATACAATTGTTTTATAAACTAATTCATATTTTTCTAGTGAGAAAGTGAGCAAAACGTACTTCCCTTTAGAATGCAATATTCCTATTAACGAAAATGAGTCTAACCCTTATTATTTTCTGTGGCCCACCACTGGTTTATATGTGACTACTATAATTTATCACTTATTTTCTAATAATTTGTAAGCTGTCAAATACGTATTTGTTATTTTGAATTTCGCTTATGACAGCTCTGTTGATTACAAAGCTTTGTTTTAAAATACTATCAATATACTATTCATTTTGAACCATAATAAATTCTTTAAGGTCCTGGTATAGTCAAGCTGCTCCATAGGCGTCCATGTAATGACTTCAGCAAGCAATCACACGAATATATCGCCAGCCGCTGTGTGTAAGTTATATGATTCTAAGAATAAATGTGCTGTCAAATAAGTATTGAGTTGATTAGTAACGAGCATTTTCAGGTTTTTAGAGAAAAACAGAAAATTGTTGATTGGTCGGTATTTCATTAAACTGTTAGTTTACTCAGAGAAGCCAGCCTGGTATTAAAAATATTAACAACTGCTCTATTTTGTTCTTCTTCATATTGTAGAGTAACATTCAAGTTCATGATAATGAAAGCCAGAAGTTTGCCATTGCAACGCTTTAGCGGTGGCGTGGCCAGTAGATCAGCGTGAATTTAATACAAGTTCAGTATTAACTGCCTATAAACATGTCTAGGTAGTTATTTCACGATTGAGTGCACGGGTGTGGAAATCTTCTTCGTAAAGTACTTCGCCTTCGCGATATATTTAAGGAACAGAGTGTTTTACTTCTCGAATACCGTAAAACATATCGTTCAGAATAGTATTCTTTGAGTACCAGAGTTTACTGCAACTTTTTTCATGTAGTTGTGCTTGTACCAACAGATAGAAGTGTTGACATACTTTTATTGTTTACTTTTGACAATTTGAAAACAAAATCCTTGTTTACTGTTTCGACATTTTCTCAGCTGTGCATAATTTATTACTAGAGTGAACGTTGGTGTTATTCTTGAAATGTGAATATTTGTTAAGATAACTAGACAGATTTGGGTTGTATATTTTACTGCAGACTTCACATTGTTTCATTGAATTATGGTGAAAGTCTTGAATGACAGACAAGTTGGTAAATGAAATTGCATTGAAACAGCTATTAAACAGCTGTTAAACGACGTATAATATATGATGACCTCTGAATAAAAAATTGCACGTAGTCATTTCATATAGCCGCGTCTTATAGATGATGGCTTCTGGAAGAATAATTTATTATATTTTGATGACGTTATAGAGATACAGCCATTTAATACCGGCATATTAACAATTTGTTCCTATTTTCAATTGCACTGATACTAACCAAACCATTTTTGTCACAGGGGTTGGAGTAGGTATGACTTGGAAAAATTTTAAAAAATCTTATTCATTTTGAGCACAACAGTCTGAACTATTTTGAGGACTCACTTAAGGCAAAATAATTCAAACCAAGATTAAATAATAGACAAAGTTATAAAAACAAACATTCTAGTGAAATAGTGAGCAAAACATACTTCTCCTGGGAATGGAATGTCCCTATTAACGAAAATCTGTGTAATTTTATTAATTAGTATGCTGTCAATTACGTAGTTGTTATTTTGAATTGACTGCTATGTTGATTACAAAGATTTGTTTAAAATGCCATCAATATATTATATATTTTGAGGCAGAGTAATGTCATATAAGGCCCTCGTTGTCGTTCCCCTCAATAAACATGTTATGACTTCAGCAACCCATCTAACATACGTGTACGCATAACCATGAACGATACTGGCCACAAAGAAATTTAGTTGATAAGGATACTACTCTTATAAAGAATTTCATGGAATAGATTAACACGCATATCGATAAAGGTATTTACACTGTAATATGTAAGTATAGGCGTGAAAGCCTAAATAAATTTTCATCGAGTAAACTGTGAAACATATTAATATTTTGATTTCCATTTTGTGGTATCAAATTATCTCTCAGTAGAGGTGTCATGGTGTAAAACACTATTGTTTTACTTACTTTAAATTAGGATTTAGAGAATGATACACTTAAAATATAACTTAAATACACATCTATGTAAACATTCAGGTGATCTTTTCGACCATACCAGACATGCAAACCATTGACTGCCAATACTGTAACTACAAACCACAAAATAGCACAAATTACTTGTTTGTAATTTAGAGCTGAAGAAACAGCATGTAAGATGTGTACAGTCACGAGTTCCACTCTTGACACAAAGTATAATTCATAATATGTGCAAATAATTCAACTCACTCAGTCCGATACTGACAGCTTTGTCTAGCAGATGAATACAAAAACATGGCAACCAATAGTGAAACCACATACATACTTAACAAAGCTTTAGAATATGTAAAACAAGTCTAACCTGTATT